AGGGGAAGCTGGAGATAGGAGTGCTGCATCAGCCCCCAGAGCATGGCATCGAAGCCTCTTTCCCAAGAACAAATTAACCCCCCGTCTGATTGAATGATCCCCCTCCCTGTGAGTCTCATTTCAAATTGCCGGTCTCCAGTGCCCTGACCATGCACAGACACACATGGCATGCAAATCCCCTCTAATGGCATCCACCACGTGGGATTAAGGCCTGGCAGTGTCACCCTGATGGTGCACACCGGGCCCTTCATGCTTCGATGGGGGGTAGGGAGGAACGGATGGACAGGAGGCAGAGCAAAGCTCCCTTTTGTGTGTGCACGGAAGCCACCTTGCTTTGCTCCTAATTTGCCGTTGATTGATTGGAGTCTAATGTTTCCCTTTCAGGTGCTGTCTCCCCAGACATGGCCCCTCTCGCCTCATTCCCAGGGGCTGGAGCCAGTTTCCAGCCAAGGAACAAGAAGAGGCATTATCACCTTTGGGCGGGCTGGCTGGTCCTCTTCTGGCCCCAGCTCCCCTCCTCTCTGCTCCTTCCCCAAGGCCCCTGCTTTCAATCAGCCCCTGCGGCCCTTTGATCTCACAGAAATCCCTCTGTGTCTACAGAGTAGCCAGGTATTCAGCCTGACCCAGCTACAGCTCAGTGCCAGGAAGGGGCTTTTCCCGTTTTCTTGCCTTAAAGAGACACCATCGCATAGAACCTTGCTGAGGCTCCGGTTCAAACATTATGAGCCAGCTCTCTCCCACTCCAAAAAATAAAAAAAAATCACAGGATTGGCTTAAAAATCATGAGACTTTTTTAAAATAATTGTTTGTTTTTTAATTTGCTCAGGTTTTTTTTGAGCCTTTGGGGGGTTACATTTTTGTGCTTTTATCCACAGCTACAAAAGTTAGATATTTACTTAAAACCCCCAACATGGTGTGATCACATGAGTCTGGGAGCTGGGGCTTTACTGTCCATGCACAGCAAAGCACAAGTTTCACTTGCAGCACAGGCTGAAGTCTCGTCGACTTCAATGGCACTTTAGCACACGCTTAACTTGAGGCATGCGCTATAAGTGCTTTGCTATTGGGGCCTGATCCAGAGCCTGTTGAAACCATTTGGAGGTCTTTCCAGGGACTTCAGTGATCAGCCCCTTAGTCGTGCTAGGTCCATCAGGGGAAAACCTGATAAAAATAACCAAGGATGCAACAGTAGAAAAATCTCCGTGGTTCTTTCTGACAAGCGCGGCTTGCTAGAGTGTAATGCTCTTCTGCCAGGCTGGGACTAGCTTCTGATCACAGCTAAACCAGGGGGCTTTGTTCACTCCAATGGGAGCTGCAGGTGCTCAGCACCTCTGGAAACCAGGCAATGGTGACTCAAGATTATGGATTTTAAGGCCCTTTAAGGGACTGCTGTGATCCATCCAGTCTGGTCCCTGCATCAAGATGAGCCAGAAAATTCCACTCAGTCAAACTCAGTCAGTGCAGAGAAGCTAGTGGATCTTAGAAAGAGCCCTTTACAGCCTGACTCTGTGCTCACTTAGACAGGCATAAGACAGGAGCAACCCCCTGAAGTCAGCGGAGTTGCTCCGGTGTAAGAGACAGCAGAATCAGAGCCCTGGTTTTGATTTAAGGACTCCATACTATGGAAGATTTCCCCCACCCCTTTGGCATATCAAATCAATGACCTCTCCTGTAAATGCTCACCCAAGGTCACGGAGCAAGACCAGGAGAGAGCCAGGAATAGAAGCCAGGCCTCTCGACAGTTCGAATCACAAAGCCACTGTTCCTCTCTGGTAGTATAAGACCTCACCACGGTATTCTGCTCGGAACCGTGCTGAGAAATGGGGTGAGAGTGACTGGGGGAAGGGGTGTTGGAAAACTGATAGGATTCGTTGATTAACGAATAGAGTTAACCAGGTTCTAGCTTCTCAAGAGGCAGTGTGGGCTAGTGGCTATAGTGCCAGATGTGGGAATACAGAGATCTGTCTTCTATTGCCAGCTCTGCCGCTGACGTGCAGGGTGACCTTGGACAAGACTCTTCACTTTTCTGTGCCTCAGTTTCTCCCCCACCCAACCCTGCCCTTCTTATGATTTGGCTATTTGGGCTGTAGTGGTAAAATTTTCAAAAGCACCTAAGTGACTTAGCAGTGTCAATGGCTATTAGCCAAGATGGTCAGGGATGCAACCCCATGCTTGGGGTGTCCCTAGCCTCTGACTGCCAGAAGCTGGGAGTGGACGACAGGGGACGGATCATTCGATAATTGCCTGTTCTGTTCATTCCCTCTGAAGCCCTTGCCATTGGCTACTGTCAGAAGACAGGATACTGGGCTAGTTGGACCATTGGTCTGACCCAGTTCAGCCGTTCTTATGTTCAGTCCCATTAATTTTCAAACAACACAGGCTCCTAAAGGCCTAAGTTACTTTTGAAAATGGGACTGAGGCTCCCAAGTCACTCAGGCACTTTTGAAAATGGTACCCTAAGCTCTTTGGCACAAGGATTGTCTCCTACTATCCCTCTGTGCAGCCTCCAGCACAATGGACTCTGGGGGTGGCACTGGAATACCCATCAAGATAACAATTCTAAGGCATTAAACAAATTCAAACATCTGTGCCTGTGTTAGGGCCTGTCTACACAGCAAAAGTGATGCAGGGGCCAGACTATTGAGCCAGCTTGAATCCAGTTAGTGTGTGTAACAGTAGCAGTGAAGACAGCACAGTGTGGGCATCAGCTCTGATAGTACGAGGCGAGCCTGGCATAGATGTTGGGTACATACTTGACTTGCCAGCCCGCTCTGCTGACTTCATATTGTTACCAATACTAGCTAGATTAAAGCTAGCTTAGATAGGCTAGCCTGTATACAGCTTCTGTTGTGTGGACAGCCCTTTAGAAATAGAGCCAAAGATTACTCTGCCTGAAATCACTGGGGAGGGAAAATCATTTGCTTTTTGCCACATGAGCAGTTTATTTAACTCTTTGTACTTTGCTCAACTTGGGAAGTGCAGCTAGACCGGCCCTCTGCTGCTGCGGCTGCATTTGGGTCTCCAGTACAGCAGAGCAACACTTACATCTCAAAAGAAACATACAGACAAGCCCCCAAAACGTGCTGTGCTTGAAATAAAAAAAACACCCAAGACTTTAATTTTTATTCATTTCAGGTTTAAAAAAAAAAAAAATCCCAAAGTCTAAATGTTTAGGCCTAAAGCGACAACAGTCGACTCTTTAAGGAAATATTGGAATGTATTAAAAAAAACCCTAAAAGTGGTTTCTCTTTACCTGATAGGGAATCATAGACACTAGGCCAGGTTGCTCTCTGGCTAGTCAAACGGGGGGTCCTCATTTTATTTCTCTTCCAAAGTGGGCGTGTGGTTGGGAATTTGGTCTCTCGAAGCAAAAGGAAAGCCCCTGACTGAGGGAAGAAGGGAAGTCAAAACCCTACAATAAAATAAATAAAATAAAGAGGCTTGTGACAAGCTGAAAACAAGTGCTGGGATCTTGCCTCTGCAACTGTGGTGCTCAACCTTTTCCATGCTGGAACGCCCACCACTCAGTCCCAGAACCCTCTTCCCTCTGGCTAATAACCAACCAGGAGGGGAAAGATGGCCCAGTGGTTAGAGTGCTAAGTCAATACTCTAAAGACCTAGGCTCAATTCCCTGGTCTTTCTCCACCTTTCCTGTGTGACCTTAGGCAAGTCATTGTGAGTATGCCTATACAGCAGTCACTGGGTGCTTTTTCCCCCTCCATCTAGATAATCCACCTCCTAGGATGATGGAAGAATTCTTCCACCAACTTAGCCACATCTACACTGGGGGCTAGATCGGCTTAACTACAGTGCTCAGGGGTGCAAATATTTTCATCCCCCTGAGTGACGTAGATGGGTCGATCTAAATTTTACTTATAGACCAGGCCTTAGTCTCTCTGTGTCTCCGTTCCCCCTCTGTACAAAGGGGATAATAGCACTTGCCTTGCTTTCCAGGAGTGTTGCAAGGATAAATATATTACAGATTGTGAGGGGCTACAGTAATGGGGCCAGCTAAGTACCATAGACAGACATCTACCTCCCCTCTGGGAAGGCAGAATGATCTCAACCCTTCTGCTGCTCTACAGGCTTCCAAGTCACTTGGATTTGTTGGCCCTGGGACCCTTGCAGACAGTCTCCTGCATATCAGCTGTCTGTTCGCTAGATACATCCATGCACACTGGAGAAAAAAGTCCTGCTAGTTCATCCCTATCCCAAGGCAGGATTCTTCCCTACAGTCCAGTCGACAGTCTTGTTCCACTGCGTCCACATGGGGAGACTGTCCCACAGTCTAAAAGATCGCACCAGTCAGAAGTTTTGAGCTTAGCCCATGTAGCGGAATAAAAAAACCCAACCAGCTGCCAGGATTGGTCCCACAGGAACTTGGCTGTCAGGGTGGAGTTAGCACATTTGATGCTGAGAACAGGGTCAGAAGGAGAAGTCTCCAAAACCAATTGTTGTCTGCTTCCCTCCCAGCAGGGGTCGCTGTACAGAAGGGCAGGCAAAGCAATGGGTGTTTGAATCTTGGGGGTCATTACAGGGGTGCTCTAGAACAAAGGGAAATCCTGCCTGGGGTTACATCTATATACAAAAAATCACCCCCACACCTGATCCTTGCTCCTTGAGTCAATATTTCTTTGTGCCTAAGAGAATCGAAGTATAAAAATAGAGCATCTTTGTAAAAAAAAATATGGGGAGTGGCAGGGTGCTGGGGGGCACAGTCCTATGTACAGCTGGGGCAATGGGTGTGCGTGGGTATGGGTGTGTTGGGAGGGCAGGACGCACAGCAACGTGCAGCATGGCGTAGTGGTGGGCACCGGGTGTGCAAGTGACACACAGACCTAGGTACGGAATGGGGGAGCAAAGTGGATCTGTGTGCGGGAGGCAGATGGCCCGGCCCTACATACAGCATGGGGCAGCAGCCTGGGTCTGTGTGCGGGGCAGGCAGACGGCCCGGCCCTCCGCACAGCAGGGGTGAGTGGCACTATCCAAAACGCAGGGCCCTACGTGCGGGGCCGCGGGGTGCGGGTGCGCTTCGTCCGGCGCGTCGGGGAGGAGGACCCCACAAACTCAAACTGCTTCTGCCGCTCGGCGTTGTTGGGGAAGGGCAGCTGGCCGCGGTAGAGGCGCTTGATGAAGTGTGCCTCCCGCTGGTTCTGGCGGCTCTTGGTGGCTTTCCGAGGGCGGCCCTTGCGCGTGAAGGCCATGTACCAGCCCTCATGGCGGGCATTCTGGAAGGCTGTGTAGTTGTTCTCCAGAACGATCTCAGTGAAGATGCAGTCTTTGCTCTTGCCATTGGGCTGGATGGAAGGAAGGGAGAGAGAGTGGGTTAATCCAGCAGGGAAAGGGTTAAGTGTTGTTAGGCGGGGTCTGATCCTGGGCCACTGGTTTTGCCATTGGACTTCGTGGGAGCAGAATCAAGGCCTGGGAGGATCTAGTGCCAATAGAAGGTGCCGGGTTGCCAGACCTCATGGAAGCTGGGCAGGCTTCCCAGGACCCTGCCAGGCAGGGAACCCCACTGCTCAGGGGTAAGAGGGGAGTCCAGTCTCTCTCTCCCATTCAGTCCTTGGCTGCTGTTCTGGGGCTCCCAACAAGGGGGCTGTATAATGCTAATCGGGGGGGATGGGTGCTTTCTGGGATCCAGTGGGATCTGGACCAAGACTCACCAGATTCATAGAATCATTGGGCTGGAAGGGACCTTGAGAGGTCATCCAGTCCAGCCCCCACTCTGAGGCAGGACCAAGCAAACCTAGACCATTCCTCTGACCTGCTGTTAAAAGCCTCCAGTGACAGGGATTCCACAACCTCCCTTGGTAACCTGTTCCAGAGTTTAACTACCCTTACGTTAGAAAGTTTTTCCTAATATCTAATCTACATCTCCCCGGCTGCAGATTAAGCCCACCTTCAGTAGACATGTAGAACAATTCATTCAGGGCACCCAGGCCACCAACCAGGGACGGCTTATAACCCCTGCCAGCCAGAGCTGGACTGGAACTGATGTCTCCGAGGTGTCAAATCCTCTGCTCCCTTTTCAATCCCATCAGTCATTCAGTCCCCCTTTGACTTGCAGTTTTGCTCAGACAGCTACTTGAGGTAGATCTCCCACTCCACATATCATCCCAGGGCAGAGCTTTGAGAGTTTACTCAGGGCTCTCTGGAAATAGCACGAACATCAATAAAGCTCCCTCCTGTAGCTCGCTATCGAATCCCAGGGCCTTCATTTAAGGAGCTTCCAATTAACGGGGAGACAATATGATGCAGTGGGAGAGCACCCTATGGTCTTTCTATCTCACTGTAATGCTTATCTGGGCTAACCAGGACTCCAGCAGCATGAACTTCCCCACAGCAGGGCCCTGTCCATGCCAGCCAGGTCTCCAGCAGAATGAGAATGACCCTTGGTAGTACCTGGGCCTCTGATGCCTAAAGTTTCCAATCACCTGTTCCAAAGTGGAAAGAAAAGTGTCTGAGGAAGCATCCAGATGGGGCAGCAATGGAGCAGTGTGCATCTACGGATCAGTGCAGAGGCGCTACTGTGTGTGCAGGGAAGGGCTGATTTCCTGCAGCACTGATGAGACCTGCAGGACCAAGCATGACTTGCCTGTTAGTGCACTTCCTTGGCACAGCCTGCAGGGCGACTGCAAGAGCACAGCTGGAGTGAACCGGCTCCACAGCTGGAGTGAGCCAGCTTAGCTGCATTGACTTCAATGGAGCTATTCTGACTGACACCTGCTGAAGTTCCAGCCCATTGTTTTTATACAGCTCCTACAAAAACAGCAGCGGTGGCTTGCCAGGTTCTGTCTTCTCGGAGATGGAGCCCGATAAAGAAGAGAGATGTTATAGATTCAGGCATTGGAGGCCAGAAGGGACCCTTAGATCATCTAGTCTGACCCCTTGTAGATCACATTTATTTCACCCCGTTACCCAGGTACTGGGCTCAGTCACTTGTGTTTGGCTAAAGCATCTCATCCAGAAAGGCATCCAATCTTGATCTGAAGACATCAAGAAATGGAGACACCACCACTTCCCCTGGCAGCGTCCCAACACTTTATAAAGTTTGAAGGCCACGTTCCTTGACCGGGGGGGGGGGGGGGGGGGGGAGGCACAGAGGGGTGGGGGGGGGGGGCGTGGGGGATGTCCCTGGCTGTGACTCACTTTTCCAATGAGCTTCCCCCTCTTGCTCATGCAGATGTATTTCTCGCTCTCGGCTCCTTTGATGCGCACACGGCTCCCAAAGGTGTCCGTCTCCACGATCAGCTTTGCTGCAAGGATGAGAGAAAGAGAGAGAGGGAGAAAACAAAACAAAACAAAACTCCTTCCACCAACGCTAGAGTGAGTGATGACCAGTCTGTGTGCCGGGGGGTCAGTGTGTGCGCTCAGGCCCATGCAGAGATCCAGAGGAGCATAGGCAGTGCGTTAAAAACAAATGCCACCAAACGGCACACACAGACTGCGCTACCAGCAGTTACATGATCTCGGCTCTAGAGGACAGATAACCCAGTGGTTAGGGCACCTGGCTAGTACTTCTCTGCCCTACCTCAAACTCCCCAGGTGACCTTGGGCAAGATACACAGGGCACATCTACACTTGGGGCTGCAGTAGGATTCCCAGCTCAAGGAGATGGACCCGAGCGTGCATGCTAACAATAAAGTTTAGCTGCTGCAGTGGAGGGGCTAACAGCTCTGCGTTTGAACACCTCTCAAACAACAGGCATGCGGCAAGGGCACGTAGGTCTCCTTGAGCTGGAGATTAGTGTCGAAGTGTAGGCACACCCTCACTCGCTGTGTGCCTCAGGTCCCCATTGTACCAGGGGGATAACAGCAGTGCCCAGCCTCAGAGGGGGGCTGTGGGGACAAATCTCATTGAATTGTCACAGCACATGGTGCTTTCCACTCCCCAGCTAACGGGGCCATGATACAGAAATAGGAATTAGAGAGTAACCCAGCAGGAAAGCTGCCAGAGGGGATGGCTGGAGTGTCTAAGCCTTTGGTTTGCAGTTCTGTCCTTACGTCTCCAGCAATCCACCACCCCTTTCATCTGAGAAGCAAATGGAAGCACATACCCAGCACAGATAACTTGCCCACTTACCTCAAGGATCTATGACAGGGGTTCTCAAACTGGGGGTCGGGACCCCTCAGGGGGTCACAAGGTTATTATGGAGGGGTCGCGAGCTGTCAACCTCCATCCCAAAACCTGCTTTGCCTCCAGCACTTATAATGGTGTTAAATATGTAAAAAAGTGTTTTTAATTTATAAGGGGGGGTCGCACACAGAGGATTGCTGTGTGAAAGGGGTCCCAGTACAAAAGTTTGAGAATCACTGATCTATGAGGACAGGGTGAAAGCCAAGTCTGCAGCCAGGGCTGCTGCTTTGATCAAATCAGGAAATAAAGGAGGCACCTATTTACAAGAAGCAGCACAGTCTAGTGGCTAAGGTATTGGCTTAGGAGTTGGGGACCCAGGGTCACCTCCTGGCCCAAGTGTATGTCTTTGGGCAAGTAACTTCTTTCTCTATTTCCCCTCCCACCCATTGTGTGTTATAGTGTAAGCTATTAGGGGCAAGGACAGAAGTAATAGTAATTATAATATTACAATTAAGCAATTCTGCCTTTGGCCCAGGTAAAAATGAACAAACCCTTCACATGGGCATGTGATGAAAAATGGCCACTGCCAGTATTCAATATCATCAAAACACACAGTAAAGAAAAGGTTAAAGTTGCACAAAGCATGGGACTATGCACAGTATTATTACCATTGCATACTGTATGTGATTTGCTGTGTTAGTCTCTTGACCAGTCAGTCAAGGGTTAATTGTCTGCGAGTCCATTCCACATTCTTTAATTAGAACACCTGGGGTCTGATGTGTTCCTATGGCCTAGAACCCTCTGTGAACAGACAAAAATACCTATATCTTGCAACCAAGGATCTAGCCTGCACCTGTGTTTAATTAACTATAGCCTGCATCTGTGTTTGTTTAATTAATCTGGAGAAAGATCTGGAACATGCAAGGCAGTAGTACCTGGAGCTGGTGAGTTGAGCTATTTTAACTTCCAGGCTGCTTAGAACAGCCTTTCTTTTTTTAATAGAAATTAAGTATTTTTATTAAGGAAATTCAGGGGCATCTGTGGGATTGTTTAACACATGACAATTTCTAAAGCCTAATGCCAGAGCAATGGGGAATAGCAGATTTCAGTAGCAAAATAGCCTGTGAGCAAGTATAATTTACTGCAGGAGAGCTTCAGCAAAATATAATGCTGAAATTCAGCCCTGTACAGAGGGCCAGAATAATGCCTATGTACCACTTAGTAGTAGTATTACTGTAGTGTTTAGGAGCTCCAGTCATGGAGCAGGGCCCTTTGTGCCAGGTGCTGTATAAGGATTAACTCGCAAGATGAGACTCAGCTTTCATTTAAAAAAAAAAAGGTTCTAGCCCTCCTGGCTATAAGGAAAAGCTTGAAACATGACCTGTGTGCATCCTAAAGCCTCAGAAATATATATATTTTTTAAAACATGATTTTTAAGCCAATCTCATGATTTTTGGAGGGCCCGAGAAGCACCACCCTCCAAAATTTGTGATGCTTTTTAATTTTTGAACCCTTTGGGGGTGGGAATTATTTATAAATGCTTGAGGGGTGGGCACACTGCACTTAGACCCTCAAAAAGGGTCTTAAGTGGGACTCAAGCGGTGCATAGTTTCTGGGTTAGGCCCTCTGCAGAGGGGTGAATTTTAGCCTAAGAAACCCCCAGACTATTGTCCCTAGCCATAAAAACTCAGTTGTGCTGCTTGCCTTTGCAGGTGCCTTTCCCTCCAGGTATGGGTTACAGTGATGGGAACTGTACCGTTAGAGATGTGCAGGACAGTGAACATGGCCCAGTTAAGTGATAAAACAACTAGATCTCTTAGGTTCTGGGACCCACCAGTTTTGTATTCAGGCATCTTGGCTTTCATCCCCCTTCCTATGTAAAATCCACATGGGCAGAACAGCCATGGGGATCAACTGGCCATGAATAAATTCAGGCTGGAAATTAGCAGGTTTCTAATCAGAGGAGTGAGGTTCTGGACCAGCCTCCCAACAGGAGTAGTCAGGGTCAGGAACCTAACTGGGATGGAACTTGATACATTTATGAATAGGATTATACGATGGAATGGCATGTGATGACCCATGAGGTCCCTTCCCGTCCTATGTCCTTATGACGAATACTCTATTTGTTCCAATTACTGATGGGCCCCTAGCCAAAATCCCCCCTCCGAACACCCCTGCCCTTAAGAGGGGTCAAAATCCTAATCTAAATTTTTGCGCCGTTAGCCCGTCTCTGGTTACAACCTCTAAGGAAAAGCCTCTATCCACACTTGGATGAGTAACAGAATCTAATTCTAATGCAGCAAAACATTATGCCTGCCTCCTAGCACTAGCCTGTCTGTTACAGCTGCTCAATCAAGCAAATTAGGGGAGCCATAGTTTTGCTTGGACGATGGGGAGTTATGGACCGAATCCTGCTCTCAGTTACATGGATGAAACTCCCTTGACTTAAGTGGTGTTGGCTCCAGGTATAAAGACCACAATCCAGCTCCCAGAGGAGCTAATGGGCCACTGACTTTAACGGGAGTTGGACTGATTCCTAAGCAAGTGCAGAAATTGGCACATGGTGCATAAGATCCATCGGAAGCTCACACCAAGGTTTCTTTGCAAATTCTCTTATCCGCTGCACTCCAGGGGGAAAACATTCACCTTTTTGTTTATAATGAGACCGTTTCAATCAAATGGAACAATTGTTTTTAGCACCTCTCCTTGATTTGGCTACAGCTGTCCTGCCCCCAGCTTTTTGATCAAGCCTTATTGTCATGTTTAACTGATCTTGAACAATTCCTCAATAAACAGAAGAATTCCCCCTTCTGGAATAAGTTTTAATCATTATGCTTTGGAGTGTTCTTTTTATCTGCTGGCTTTTGAAAAAACATCCTTTGAAAACCATTAATACCTCTGTCAATCCTTAAAATAATTTAAAAAACCCAAAACAAATGGACCTGCTAGGTACTTTTTGTAACCCTGAATCTTTAAATCTTCATTTGATGTTCAGAACAAACTGTAACCATCCTATTTTGTATTCAAACAGACTATCAATATGGTCTGATTCCTGCTCCCACTGAAGTGGAAGGGAGCAGGACCTAGGTGTATTTTTAAATCCAGTTAAAGCTTTTCTCTTTGATTTAACCTGGTAGTTGAAGACAATGTATTAATCTTCCAGTTGCCAGCATGTGCATAACTGAAGTCCAAACAAGATCTCAGAGCCATGACTTTCAGATCAGATCTAGGTTTAACCCCCAAATAAACTGATCAGAATATAAATTGAACAAGAGTTGCATGTAACTTCACCCTAGGAGAATCTGGGACTATTGTCCCTAAAGTAGTGCTGGATTGTTACCATAACAAGCCATTGTACGTTTGAAGCATCACAGTCTCTGATGATAGTCAGGACTTTGCCTTTACGAGAGAGATTTCCACAAAGGGAAATGTAAACAACAATCCATACATTTTGCTGGATTCTCACATGAAAGATGAAATCCTCACGTCAAAGGGACATTTGAATACAATGGGGTCAAGATTTCACCCAGTGATTCACTCCCAAACATGCTAGGGATGGACTGGAGTGGCTTTAGCAAGCCTGTTTTGTATATTAGACCAGAATACCTTTTAAAATGCTAGCCATAGCTTCCTGGATATTCTCAATTGCCAGGAAGTCGTCTTTCGGTTTCTAATACATACCAGTCTTCAGCTGGTTGCATTGTCAGTGAAGCTGTGGCTATGAAACTGGAAGGTCTCCTGGTCTCTGTCTCTTCCTTGGGGATATATATGAAAGCAACCCTTGTGACCCTTCTTACCCCGTACCAGGGATGCTAGCAGGGCCGGCACCAGGCACCCAAGCTGGTGCTTGGGGCGGCACCTGGAGGGGGGCGGCGCGGCGCTCTGGCCGCCGGGGGGAGAGCCGAGCCCCCCCCGGGGCCCCAGCCGCCCCCCCCCCCCCCCGGCTCCGGCCGGCCGCCCCCCCCGCGGCCGGAGGCTTTTTTGCCTGGGGCAGCAAAAAAGCCAGAGCCGGCCCTGGATGCTAGTTATCTGTCTCAGTCAAGTGTCTCAAAGCGCTCCCAGGGACGGGGGCAAGTACCACTATCCCCGCTTTACAGACAGAGAAACTGAGGCATGGAGCAGGGATGTGGCACAGTGATTCACAGGCAATGGTGGGACTAAAACCTGGGAGTCACGACTCCGGGCATCCCTGTTTTAGACACTAGGTCTCATTCCCTTCCTGAACTGGGAACAGTCCTAATACCCAGCCCAGCCCAGCCCAGCCCAGCCCAGCCCTGCTCTTAAACACTAAATCCCACTCCCTTCCCTGAGCTGGTAATAGAACCCAGCAGGTGTATAGTCCTGTATTGTGATAGCACCTAGGAGCCCCAGATATGGATCAAAGCCCCGGCGTCCTAGGTGCCGCACAGACATAGAACAAAGAGGCGGTCCGTGCCCCAAGGAGTTCACAATCTAACCCAAGCAGTGTGACTCATCCCTGTGCTGGCACTGGCCTCTCTGACCAGGTTCCAGATGTGAAATCTCTGCAGGGCCGACAACCATTTCCAGATGTGGCTGATATAGCCACATGGTAATCGCTCAGAATTAAAGTGCATTCCCCACCAGCCGGTCTCTTTCCATCACAGATGGCTGAGATCTGGCCATGTGCTCTGGCGGGATGGGGGCATCTCTAGCTCCTTACCGAATTTGTTGCCATCCTCTGCCGTGGCGGTGATCCTTTTGCCGTTCACCTGGACATGCTTGCCACTGGTCCGGCTGTAGAGCTGGTACTCCCTGATCTGCCTTCGGCTCAGCTGGTCTGTCATGGCGCCCTGGTCCCTCACGTACTGGTTAAAATTAGGAGACGGTTGATTCTCCCCCTTTGTTTACAAAGGGAAAAATAAAATCAATTTGTTTTGGACAGCCCCACAGACATGGCGAGGATATGGAGTCGGGAGCCATCACTGGGTCATCCTGGGCAGGAGAGCTCACGCAGGGTGGTGGGATGGGGTCTGGGACCCTGAGGAGCATGCCAAGGAGGTGGCTGGGATATAGTCAGGAACCAACAAAGGGACGTCCTGGTCAGGAGACCTAGAGGACAGGGGATGGAGCTTGGTACTCTGGAGAGGAGGTCACATACATGATGGAACCTAGCTTGAAATTAGAGGCACCCCAGGCCGGAGGCCTCATGCAGTTTCATTGCATTCCATGCAAACTTGTGTATACATTTTAGATTCCAGGACATCCTGGGGGGCACAGATGAGATACGGAGCTTTTCATCTCCATTCCAAATAGACAGTGACCAAAGCCATTGCTGCCTGATGGCCGTTAGCTGGCCTAGGTGAGATGAGTCTCAGTCCAATGCCCATAACACCTGCCACCACAGATGCAACTAGCTGGCAGGCTCAACAGAGGACTGAATGGGGCTTGGAGACCCAGCTCCCCTCAGACTAGTAGAGGTGCTGGATCAAGGGGTGAGAGGCTGCGTGGGTGGGTGGGTGGATCAAGGGGTGAGAGGCTGCGTGGGTGGGTGGGTGGATCAAGGGGTGAGAGGCTGCGTGTGTGTAAAAACTTGCACTGCTGCTCCCCATCCTGCTCCTTTTCTGGGGATACGCAGATGGCTACCTTCTAAGAAGGGATAATCTGGTGCCTTTCTCTAGTAACATACCTACCTAACCAAGACCCCCCCACGTCTCCTGGAAACTCAGAGACCCGTCCTGTTTCTCTTATTTCTTTGTTACTTGGGATTGTTATGAGTCATAGGCTCCTATTACCCACAAAGTCCTAGTTCTCTGGGACAGCAAAATTGATTGCTAAAGGGAAGACGATTCTCTCTCTGTGTCTATAGAAATATATCCATCCATCCATCCATCCATCCACTATAACCCTCTCTCTACTGGTTCGGCAGTCTCTCCATATGTTATATGTAATATTACTCTCTGTCAGATGTAAATATCTGCTTATCTAATATAACCTTCTCTCTTCCATATATAACCATCATCCATTCATTCAGTATAATGCTCTATCTAATATAAACCTTCCATCTACCATAAATAACCATCATCCATATGTCCTCTATAACTCTATTATTATTATTTATTTATTTATTTATTTACTTGTATTATTGTAGCACATAGGAACCACAGTCCTGGAGCAGGACCCCATTGTGCTAGGTGCTGTACCAACATTGAACAAAAAGACAATCCCTGCCCTAAAGAGCTTCCAATCTAAATCTCTATCTATTCCATCGTCCTGGCATCTGGCCACCTTGTGAATGTGATTCTTCAAACCCAGGACTTGTTAGCGGAGCTGGGAAGAAAGTAGAACAGATGAAGTAGTAAAGGTGTCCCCCTTCCCCTTTCCCCCCCCCCCCCATTGTCGTTAGTAACAACAGAACAAGAGCAAAATACGGACCGTGGGAAAGAAGCTGAATTCTTCCCAAAGAATGAGTCTTCCACGGCCCTATGAAGTTATCATGACTGTGATCATAGAATAAAGGATTGGGTTGTCCTGTCCCTGCTGTATTGCCGGGGGCCCTGACAGCAAAGACCCGGGAGTAATGTGTATTCGAGGGTCTTCCTGGAAGATCATGCCCATGCAAACTGCAGGCATGTGTCACAGAGAACGCTACTTCCACAACCTCACTGTGCCATCAGCACACAAAGCCTGTTGCTGCATGTCTCACACATTTCTCTGCGTGCCTCAGGACCCTTGCTGGGAGCCAGGCTCATCCTCAATAGTGACAAATACTAGAAAAGAGGGGCTGGAAATCAGCGAATGGCAAGTCAGCTGTAGCACTCAAAGTCTATGGCCAACACTCCGGATCCACGTTAGCCAAACCTGAATTAGAGGGGCCTGCTGATGCGCTGGCACTACCACTGTTGCTGATGGGTGCCAACACTCATGCCAGAAGCGAAGGGCAAACCACTGCTGGCTCTAGGCTCCAGAACCCCAGTGCAACCAGAGCCTCCCTGCTGCCCCCTGGATCCTACTGCAACGTAGAACCTCCCAGCTGCCCCCAGAACCCCAGTGCAACCCAGAGCCTCCCAGGTGCCTCCAGGATCCCGAAGCATATGTTATATCAGAGTCTCAGAGAGCGAAGGACCAATAGTATTACTGCCCGTTGTTTGAGCCACTGATGACCTAGGGTCACAGAGTTTAAGGCCAGAAGAGACGACAAGACTATCTAGTTTGACATCCTGTATATCACAGGCCACCAGCACCACCCAGCACCTGCACACTAAACCCAACAACTGAAACTCGACCAAAGTATGACAGCCCGCCGGAGACTAGACTGTGATGTGCCACAGGCAGAGAACAGGAGGGATCGAGGTGCACCAGTGTCCGATGGAGGGAAATGGTTAAGTGAGAGAGACCCAGATAACCCTGGCAAGGGACCTGCACCCGCATGCTGAAGAGGAAGGCAAACGCCCCTGCCCGAGGTCACTGCCAATCTTCCTTCCGGACCCCACATCTGGCAATCAGTGAGCATGTGAGTAAGAACCAGCCAGCCAAGCACCTGGGAGAGAGAATGTTCGGTGCCATCTCAGAGCCCTGGTCCTCCCTGTCCAGTGTCCCATCTCTAGCTGTGGCCATCCCTGATGCTACAGAGGAAGGAGATTAACAAAAAAAAAAAAAAAACAGAAAGAATTGGGGCGGGGGGGAATCCCTTCCTGACCCCTGCAGGCAGCTGGCTGAAACCCTGAAGCATGAACTTTTAGGAACATAAGACATAAACCGGAAGTGAGCCCCAGGTCCCTGAGTCCTGCCCCTATCATAAGCAATCATGTCATACAATCGTTCACAAGAACCACCGGCTGGGAGGGACAGAAATGCTAAAGAACATCAAGGCTTCAAAACCCAGGCTAAAAACAAAACATACACTACCCTGAGTGAGCCAGGCTCTCTCTCGTGTATAGGGGAAGGGGGCTCTTTCTTAGCCAGCCCCTACAAATCACAGTATGGTAAAACAGCAAACACCCCCGGTTCAGCGTCCGCCCTTCACTGCCAGCCATGAGACAGGCTGAGCGGAACTGAGAACTGAATGTGGTTCCTAATGCACAGTGACTAACCAGTAGCAAATGGTAGGTTACTCTTGGGAAGGTCATTCTACTCTTTGACTCAGCTAACGATGGACAGAATCCCACTCTGGTACATGTACATGAACTCAAGTGTTGAACCCACAGTGGGGGCTCAGAGCTGGAAGCTCCATGTATGTGTGAGGAGCAACTAGTAGGGTGACCAGATGCCCTGACTTTCAGCATCAGGACCACAAAGCTCAACATGAAACTTTGGTCGAAACCATTGGTCTCCTGTTCAAACAACAGGAGGCTGCTGCGTGTTTCAAACAGTATCAGCTCAATGCCATACACCGGCCTGAGTTTGCTCCAAACCAGGCCTGAATTGCCTTGAAAGTTTCCTAAACTTTAGCAAACATGACAACAAACCAAATCTTTCTACCAATGCAGGAAACCAGAGAAGACTGATGTGTTTGTGGATCTATGTGCAACCATTATGTGCTGTAACCCTCCCAACATGCATGTGTGTCAAAGCATATTGACCGAATTCCCCCTCTCCTCCTCAAAGATACACTAAAAGAAGAGGGCCAAATTCTGCTCCCCAGTGGGGAGTCCCCACTGGCCAGGAGCTACTATAGATTCTGATGATGTAAGAGCAGAATCTAGAGCTCAGCCTTTCAGATTTACACTGGCATAACTCCAGTAACTTCAATGGCATTACTCCTGATTTACACCAGTGTAACTGACAGCAGAATCAGCCTGGAGTGGTTCAGCGCACTCCGAAAGGCTACTAAATAAAGTGTGTATTGTACCCAAACAGGCTTTGTGACTTATGCTAATGCCCTAGCAGAAACACATGCTCCCCAACAGAAGAGTTATTGTATGGTAAATACCAGCTAATTACTACAGACATGCTGGTTGACTACAATGCTGATAATCCTCAATCTCTATGAGGATACAGAGCTATCACGGAGCAGTTAAACTTCAATCAATGTCTTTAACTATGCATTTTATTGGTATGAGAAGGCTTCATTTAATCTCTATGCAAGTGGAGTAGGAAGCCCTGATTTTAAGAGCTAAGACTGAGATTTTCAAAGCTCCTTAAGAGATTTGGCCATGCAATTCGGGTGGTCGAATTTTTTAAATTTAAACTTTTTTTTTGGGGGGGGGAGTAAGAAATAGCTTTTTGACCAAAATACAAATGTTTGTGGAAACATTTTAGTTTGGTCAAAATAACTGAATTTTTCATTTTAAAACACAGAAACTGAAAAATACTTTTTTGTAAAAATATTCAGTTTTTGATTAAAAAATGTTTAGAATATTTTTTTTTGTTTTGATTGCAGCAAAAATTTTCAGAATAGAGTTTTCAAAACCTGAACTTTTTACCAACAGCAGAAAAAATTACCAACACTGGTCATCGAAAGCTGGACAAAATCTTTTGTTGTTACTTGAAAACCAAAATATTTCTGTGAGGAAAATTAGGAAAAAAATGTTGAAATACTTGGATTTTTGAAACTGCTGTAGTCCACATCGCTTAGCCATCTTTAAAAATCTCAGCTAGAATGTAGCTCTTTAGCTTGTGCATGACACATAGGCAAATCCATCCTCAGCTGTGTAAAGTTGCTCCATTGCCTTCAATGGAACACCAGTGATTTACCCCAGCTGACTTCAGTGGGGCCAGGATTTCACCCAGCTATTACCATAGCAGAACTGAGATCTTAAAGACCTATTGCTAAATAGTGTGCAACCCTGCTCCCATTCCGATCACTGAGCATTTTGCCATTGACTTCAGGTGAAGCAGGATCAGGTCCTGTCTATGGGCCATTTTAATCTGCCCCAAATTTCTCTGGGAATCTGAGTGCTGGTCAGAGATTATCTACAGCACCAACTTCAGCTCATCAGAAACATTCACAGAGCAGTGACATGGGCCACTGGGCTGGCTCAGAACTTCTTGCTGTAAAAGGAAAGGCAACAATGGGGTTCTGGTTTGTGACCAGGTCTCCCACAGTACTACACTAATAAATAAATAATAATAAAAACTGGTAACTTAAACACAGATTGGCTCTCCCTGTATTAATAGCTTCTCTACAGTAAATCCACACGCTAGGGTATGTTTCATAGACCTACTTGTGACATTATTACCAGATTTTTCAGACAGGCTCAGAACGCACCATCAGGCCCAGATTTTCCAAAAAGCTCAGATTCCATTACGTGCTGAGCAGTTTTGCAAATCTGGCCATAAGTGGGAGCTATCCTCTATTATTTTATATTATGCTCACACTTTCTATCAAGGTTCTAGTTATAAATAGTTAATAGATGGTTAATAGATGCTTTAATAAATGGTTTTTCAGAGTCCAACAGGATGACAGGTTGCTTATAACCATGGCTTACAACCATCTATAACACCTTCTACTGATGTGCTTATAAACATCAATGCTGTAGGCTGCTCATACCTGTACATGCTTGTAACAGCTGTTAATCCTGTATTAATCCTTTATAAACAATTTCTGAATGGACCCTTAAAGTGTGACTATTATATTTATGGTGAGGCACGAAAGGCAGGACATTCACAACGGACTCGATTGTGCAACGCTAACTCATACTTGTGCACCTTTAGACGAGCAGCCTCACTGACGTCCATGAGTGCTTGTGCGAGTGCTCGCCAGCATGAATGAGGGTGGCCCAACGAGCCCTATGTAGGATGAGACCAACAGAGTCTAAGAAGAGACTAGTGATTTTGGATGCCTCCATTTTTCGGTGCGCAACGTGAGACACTTTAAAGGGCGCTGATTTTCAGACGGTGGGTGCTCAGCACGGTCTGGAAATCAGGAGCCTTTAAGGTTTCCCAAGCAGGGCACCCAGAGTCACTTCTGAAGAGTTTGATGTTGCACAGCCGTGATCAGGTGAATGGTTTAGTCCTGCCCAGGTGCCGAGCACTCACAGATCCTGTAAACTTCTATGGGGGTCCCAGGCACTCAGCACCTCCCAGGACCAGACCCTTTGGCAAAGAGGGCAATTGTCTCCTTTTGACTCAGGCTGGCTTCTGGAGCAGGGCTCTCCTGCGCCCTCTCCCCCCCTCCCCCCCGCCTCAATTCAGCTGGGTCTCAACTCAACTGAGCTCAATGGGGACTCTTTCTAGACCGGCTGCTGCCTGTCCCCATCCATCAGGACTCATAGCATCATGTTGGACCTGTGAACCCTGACAACGGGGGACTTGTGCGCCCCTCTGGGGGAGGAATGAATGCAGGGATGAAGCCAGGTAGAAATCCCCTCTCCGTGAGTTCCTGGAGCTGCTTCCTTTTAATTCATCCAAAATCCTCTTGCTTTTATTTATTTATTTATTTTTTTGGCTCTGCTTCTTTCTCCCCTTGAGTGATCTTTCCCATCTTTTCCTTCAGCATTCAGCAGCCTCCGCTCATTTCAGATCACAGGGCAAAACCTCTCTCTCTCTCTCTCTCTCTTTCTCCCCCCTCCCCACCTCTTCCCACCTCCCTCACAAAGGAGGACAGAGAGGGTCTAGCAAAGATCACAGCAAACATTATCTATGTGGAATCTTCACAGGTCTTTAGTGTGGCCGCTGGGGGGGATCGACCCCTTGCTGCTGCCAAAGGAACTGGTGATCAGCCGTCCCAGAGACAGCTGCTCATCACACAGGAGCTCAAGCATGGCTCTGGCCTTTGCCAGCTTGCCCCCCCTCCTGCCCCGCCTGCCGTATACCCTCAGTGGGGGAAAGGCAAGCAGTTCAAGGGAAAGCCCCACACCACCTTTCACAGCGCCATCAAATGATCCCCCCGCCCCCAAGGGGGCAATAAAACCAGGCCCAACACCATTGTGCTAATTTCTGCTCCACAATACGCTGCATCCCTGAGCCTTTTTGTGTGTGCGTGTGTGTGTTAGGTGGGGTGGGGTGGGGAAGGGTCTAGGGTCTCGCTTCCGGCAAGGATTCGCTTTAGAGGCTTTGGGGGTGTTTCTGTCCCCATCAAAGGCACCTCCATTCCCCTCTTGTTTTCAAAGGCATTTACCTTAAAAAGGTTCGGAGTGCATGTTAAGGAATCCAGGGCTGGCCTGTTAAAACGGTTTGGAGTCTAGCTGAGAGGGTGCTGGTATGGAACAGTGCCTTTTAATAGCCCTGGCTTTTATTGAGATCACAAAAAGGGACACTGCATCTTTAAAAGGAATGGGGGGTGGGAGGGTTAAACCCCAAGCCACGGCAAGCTGCTCTGACTTTGGATTTAAAACCAACGGGCCTGATTCTGCTCTCACATATCATGCTGGTGTAAATCAGAAGTAACTCCACTGAAGTGATTGGGACAGATCCCCAGCTGGTGTAAATTGGGATAGCGCCACTGAAATCAATGCTGATTTACACCAGCTGCAGATCTGGCCTGATGGAGTCACACTGGTATGAAACTGGTGTGAGAGGAGACTCAGGTCCCAAAAATCTCAACTTTGTATATTTCTGGAATGGAGCATTTCCCCTCAATGAGCAGTATTCTAATGAAATATACCGGCTTCCTATACAGCACAATGTACCCGTTATCTAGGGGTTAAGGCCCAATCCTGTGAGCGGTTACACACAGGAGCAATCCCATTAACCTTAATTGTCTATTACATCTACTCCTAGATAGACACAATTTCATTTCTGAAACAGTTAAAATAATTAGTCTTACCTTCATGATTATCCAGTCCTACAATTGGTCCTGAACCTTCAAACATGCACATACGTAAGTTTACTCACCTGAGTAGTGCCATTTGAGTTCCTTGGGCAAGATTCTGCTCTCAGGCCAGTGCAACTGCACTGTCAGTACAGTTACTCCTGAGCGATGCTGGTCTGCGATTAGAATCTACCCCTTAGGTTTACTCGTGTGAGTAAAGTTACCCATGTGCATAGGTATTTGCAGGAGAGAGCTCCTTAACTTTTAAAACTGTGCTATGTTTAATAACTTTAATAATAAATCAGTATTGTCAGCATTAGCAAAACAGAATGCACAGGTAACATTTTGATTTTGATTGAGAGTACATTAGCCAATTTATTTTCAAGCACCACACAAACTGATACATGCCACCTTTAGGATTAAAGCAGTGCACCACAGGGGAAAAAAAGCAATTACTCTGGTTTCCAAAAGAGCTTTGGGCACTTTGGGTTTGAATGCTATTGCAGCCCGGTGTCTTTAAACAATTTGGTTTTGTTGCAAAGAAAGAACTCCACAAGTAAATCGAAAAAAACGTAACCTGACTTTTTGCATGGGGGGGGGGGGGGTTGGTTAGTAAAACAGACAGTCTGTTGCAAACGTACCTGGGTTTGACAGGAGAGCATTAAGAGCTGGAAACATCTGTATTTGGAAACAAAAGAGAGAGAGAGAAAAATACACAGGGTTTTGTTTGGGGGTTATTCTGTCTACTACTAATACACTATTGATTAAACCTTGTTGCAAATAATTGGAACAAAGCTAGCTGTGAGGAAAGAAGAAAGCGCTTACATGGAAAGGTTTTGGAGGCTGACGTACTGCTGCATGTCGCTTGCCAAAAGAAGAAAAAAAAAAGAGATAAATACATAAAATGAACTAAATCAGCTCTGAGTCAAGTGCTCTCAAACTCTCCCAAAGCTGCAAATATCTCTTAAAGCTGGCACATTCCTGGGGGTGAAGCTAAGGAGCGGTGTCCCCTCCTTTTTAGTCTGAAACCCCCAGTAACAGCAGGAAAGGAGGTGTCAGAAAAAAACAACCCCACTTCTTGCACCTTTAAGACCACATGTGATCATAAAGTGCCTGGAACAAAAATTGATATAGTGCATGGAGATGGCTGGAGCAGCGCATCCGTCTTCTTCCTTCCTTTCTTTTTTAATCTTTACCAGGGTCCTTGCCGTGCTTGAAGAACCTTCATAGCATCCAAGTTTGTTTCATCCATTTCCCCTTTTCTCCCCACCCCACCCTTCCCCAAAATAGAAACTTGCTGCTTTCCTCAGTTTATTCACTGGGTTGCATCCCTCCTGCAGCCTGGTAGCTGCGTCCTCCTACATGGGAAGGTGGCTCAAGGCAAGGTGCTCCCATCTGAGGAGGAGAAGACACTTCAGAGGCTCAGGCTCCAGTAAGTTCCAAGCTTGGATCCAACAGAGAGATTACACGAGGGAGCAGGGGCTTGCTTGCAGGCTATTGCTAGCACTTCCCATGTGTCAGCCCTGAAAGCTTGGAAGAGTCTCTGCAGACAGGGGCAGAACCTTCCCTTCTGGCTTCCCTGCAAGTCATTCAGCAGCTGGAGAAGGAAGGAGGAACCTTACCTAGCAGGAGCCTGTGAGGGAGGAGAAAGGGGGTGGGGGAGGCAGCTTGGCAGAGCGTCTTGTTGTGTCCCCAAGTTGGAGAAACCAACCTGAATTAACAGAAGTGGGGAGAGGGTGACTGACTTATCCGATCCCCCACTCCCAGCAGCACACACCTGGCATAGGAGGGGTATGCGCCTGTGGTAGTGGCTACCTGCTTCTTTTAACTTACAGCGTTGGGGCATCTGTGCAGGAAAGCCACAAGCGTTGGAGTTCAGCAGCTCAGCCGGGGCGCAGAGTGTGAGAGCTGGGGACAAGGGGGGCTTTTTGGCCAGCATCATACAATAGCATCAGGTGGCTGGTGACTTATGTTTTGTGGGGGAAAGAACACAGTTACTCCCCTCCCAGCCTGCATGCAGTGATGCCCCAGGAGGTTTGTGCCTCCCCTTGCTCAGCTGAATGGCTAGCAACCCACTGCAGAGGGGGTCGCAGGTTCCCTGGTTCCTTGCAGTGGGAGGTGATGGGCTAGCTTGCAGCTCTAGCTAGTGGCCCAACATGCGCCCAACCACAGGTGACCTTGGGCACTCTCCCACCCTGGCCCTGGGGTTGTGCCAAAGAAGAGCCCTGGCACCTCTCAGTAGAAGTCAGGCTAAAACCTACATGGGGAGGAGGCTGACAGCAGACGGATGTGGGCCAATAGCCAATACTTTGTTTATCTGTGTCCAGAGCAGCGTTCTCCAGAGGCGATGGGGTTTGATACAGTGTGTCCATTTGGTATCACTGCCCCAGGCCAACTCAGGGGCCGCCTGCCATTTATTGTGAGAATCAAGCCACTGTGTTCGCCTGGCAAGGGAAAGGTGAACTCCCTTCTCTCCACAGTCCCTCCCTGGGAGTCCTTGCTGCCCCCACTCAACGCCCGGCCACGGACACTTTCCGCTCCCCTGGAATGTGGAGGCGGGGGGTGGAGGCACTGAGCTGCCAATGCGTGGCTGGCGTAAGTGGCGTGTTCTGGAAGCAGAGATCATAGCAGAAGGGGGGACAATCTGGGAAACCAAGCCAGCGCCTGCCCAGGCCCTCTGCCACTGGAATTCGGTTGTCTTCCTCTGAATGCTCTCTGCCCACGTTACTGAGCCCAGGCGCTGGCCTGGGGTTTTGCCACACTCAGGCAGTGCTGAAAGGGACTTAGGAGGGAGCGCAGCGCTACAAAAGCTCCCATAAAAGGAGCTCAAATCCAGGACTGAGACTGGAACTGAAACACCCCTTTAGACCAGGCCATCTCCTGCTCTGAAAGTCTCAGGAGGAGTAGCTGCACCCCCATTCAACTCAGAAACTCTACAGCGTACCCCCAATCACACTCAGTGCCCCCCAGTTCAGCTACACATCAACCACATGCACCGGCCTGCAGGGTTATTTCCAGTGGTTGGCACTCGTTTCTGGGAGTCATGGCTCATTGTTTCTATGGACATCTCCGGAAGGGAGTGTCTCTAACAGCAGATCGCGAGACGGGGACCCAGGGCTCCTGGGTTCATACCTAGCTCCAGGAGGGAGTGTGTGTAGTGGTAAGAGCAGGGGGCTGCAAGTCAGAACTCTTTTAAGTGCCATGCCTAGCTGCTCTGCAACTGACTCACTGCGACACCTCAGGCAAGTTCTTTCATCTCCCTGTGCTTTGGTACTCTTAAATGGGGATACGATACGGACCTACCACACAGGAGGATTATGAGACTTCATTGGGCAATATGTGGTGACTGCTTTTGTATCCTTGGTCAGAAGCCACTGTATTCATTGTAGCCACTGCGTGAGAAATGTATCTCTAAGTCTAAGGGAAACCTGGGCCTTTCTAACCAAGGGTTGCTTTAAAGCTAGATATCTCAGTCACTCTTTCTAATAAGGTTATTACAATTACAGGAGAGTTACACGGCAGCTTTGCCTCTCAGTGTGCAATTATCATGAAGTCACATAACTGGAAGGTTATCTTCATGGCTGAGTTACTTATTATTACCCCTCTAATTCATATATACTAGTAGAATCCATGTATATTAATTATGCACTGTAGTCATTCCCAGTCATGTAATGAACTTTCTAGCTATATGAATTACGTATCAAAAAACATAACCACCCTGAGACTGCACTATAATTATATTGCCATTGGAGTGTCCTGATGATAAAGTGTGATTGGCTCCCCTAGCACCGTCACCTTTGTCCTTTATGATCAAATATACCCCTTCTGGAGCACCGGTAATGACACGCCACCCCTGACCAGAGCAATGGTCCTTCTAGGTTTGGTAAGCACTCCACACAGAGTCAGCCTTGTCAGGAAAGAAACCGTAACACTTTTTAATCAATTGCATGAGCGCTCAGCTCATTTGGAGTCTGCTTGGGTCTCTGGAAACATCAGATGCTTAACGCAATGCATTAGCATAGTCACTTCCATGCTGGCATGACACCCACTCACGGGCACAGTCAGTCCCATACTAACAGCTCCACACCTTCCCTTTCAGTTTCCTGCAGTGACCAACAACAGATACTTCAGAGGAAGGCATAAAATACCCCCCAGCATGCTGTGTGACCATGTGGCCTAATGGATCGGGTATCTGACTTCACATCAGAAGACTAAGGGCTTGCATCTCTTCATGGTCCATTTGCTTCAGCGCTTGGATACTAAGGTGATAAGTGCCTTATAAATACCTTTGACAGTTATCTAGATAATGCCCCTTATTACGTCCCAAAGTGCTGCCTAGTGTTGCTGTGCACTATTAAACTACTGTTGCCTTTTGCCCCAGAGGTGGCTCCATTTCACTGGTGGACCTGCCCTCGGTTTACTAAGCACTTTGGCATGAAAGGTGCTACAGAAACGAATGTATTACTGTGTACTTCAAAGGTGACCTACCATATCCCAGACATAGGTGCTAATGCAAAGCAGTCAACTGCTGAAGCGGGGACCTGGTGGCCAAAGAAGGAGATTGGGTTCTGTGCGACTTGGGTGACTCTCACTATTCCCTATGCTCCCCTTCTGGCCTCCTACAGCTTGTCCGTTCTGCTGATCAGATCACGGCTGAACAGGACTGTGAAGAGCTGACAGTGCAGTGCGCAGCCCAGGACAAATCACATTCAGTCTTACATCACCTAACTCCATTCTTCCCAAGCACCAGGACATTTTGTGTGTAGACAAGCCTGCATTGCTCATTACACTTATTGCCTTCTAATGGATTCTCAGGTCTTTGGAAAAAGAACGAGGGGTACTTGGGGCACCTTAGAGACTAACAAATTTATTTGGACATAAGCTTTTGTGGGCTAAAACCCACTTCATCAGCTGCATGCAGTGGAAAATACAGTAGGAAGATATATATATATATATACAGAGAACATGAAAAAATGGGGGTTGCCATACCAACTCTAACAAGACTAATCAATTAAGGTGGGCTATTATCAGCAGGAGAAAAAAAACTTTTGTAGTGATAATCAGGATGGCCCATTTCAAACAGTTGACAAGAAGGTGTGAGTAACAGTAGGGGAAAAATTAGCATGGGGAAATAGTTTTTACTTTGTGTAATGACCCATCCACTCCCAGTCTTTATTCAAGCCTAATTTAATGGTGTCCAGTTTGCAAATTAATTCCAGTTCTGCAGTTTCTCATTGGAGTCTGTTTTTGAAGTTTTTTTGTTGGAGAATTGCGACTTTTAGGTCTGTAATTGAGTGACCAGGGAGGTTGAAGTGTTCTCCAACTGGTTTTTTAATGTTATAATTCTTGACGTCTGATTTGTGTCCATTTATTCTTTATCCAGGTCTTTGGGGCAGGGACCTTTCCTTCATATATGTTGATACAGTGCTGAGCACAATGGGCCCTGATCAGGGCTTCTAGGCATTGCTGTAATATAGATAATAATAAGTCACTTTCACACTCTGTACCTCAGTTTCCCCATGTGCAAAATGGAGATGATGATACTCTGCTCCGTATAAGAACCCCTATAGAAGAGACTAACATAGGCCTTGTTGACAGTGGGGCTGTGACCCATTTGCAGTAGCTGCCCCACTCCCTAACCCCTAGTGTAGATAGACAAAGCTGCTCTAAGCCCTGATCTGAACCATGCAGCTTCTCCTGGTTTCAAGCAGGGATAAACAGTGCAGTTGCAAATAATAATCCCTAGTTCTTTTCATCAGTAGATCTCAAGCACTTTACAAAGGACGTCAGTATCATTAGCCTCATTTTGCAGGTGGGGAAACTGAGGCATGGAGGGGGAAGGTGACTTGCTCGAGGTCAT